AAATAAACAAAGTATTAAATTACCTCTTTCACAATTGCACTATCTCCATCCTGGATCAACAAACCCTGCAGCAGGGTTGCCTTGGTTGGGAGGACGAGGTGAAGAGTAGGTGCCTGATGGATGGAGAGGTGCCTGGTAGCCTCATCAAAAGGTTTCAGGAGCTGGATGACGTCCTCAAGAAGGTCACAGTCTATGTTGTTGAGGTAACGGAGCTCGCTTCTGCGAAGCAGGATGTCGTGCAGCTTACCAGACTTGAGAGCATCATTTATTGACTGGAGCATGGCAAGTCTGGTGTTCCACCTCGTCTCCACAGCCTGCTTCAGTGACTGGTCCAGTGCTTTTTGTAACCTAAAATTGAAAGAAGACCGTGCACAAGTCAAAATAGGGTTACAGGGACTATAAAAATTGCAATTTGTTGGCCTTTCTTTTGGAAAAAATATTTTATTAAAAAGAAGAGCTTTACAACTGAAACTAAGTCAAGAAAATGTGACCTTTGCAGTTATAAATTACAGTACCTCAATTTTTCTTTATTTATTTCACTTATCATATTTTATGATTATTTAAGCAGCCTCACCAGGCAGAGATTACAAGATTTTATGTATCTTACCCTGCCCTTTTGAAATGTGTGACTAGGGTCTTTGCGTCCTTAAACAGCTTGATGACGCTGCTGTGTACTGGGTTGTCCTCATCCAAGTGGTCAAATACGTGTTTTAAGATCAAGTTGATATTATGGAGAGCCGCACATAATCCTTGAAAACAGCGATCATGTTTGAGCCATTATCTGTCACAAACACAGTGTGCTTGCTCAGGATGCCAAATTCCTGTTAGGTAAAAAAACAAAACAAAGACAAACCAAAAACTTAGCAAATAAGAAGACCAGACATATGATAATCATTAAACAGATTGATCAACAGTCATGTAATTGTACGAAGCACTTTTCAATAAATTTATAGTACTACAATAGGACAAAACATATTCCACATATTACACATGTGTTGTGTATCAAATGAAGGAAAAGTCCATCTGCAATTAAGGTAAAATACTATGGTAATCTGCCTAAATTGCTGCCTACCACGGCACAGACTGATGTACAGCGAAGGACCGTGACACACGCTTACTGATGCACTGATTTATATTCCAGGTTAGTCTGCTCCTGCAACCTGGAACACCTTTCAGCAGGAACTGAAGTTGTCCACCTTAATTTATTGTGAGGGGTTTTAAACATTTCTTAATGTCAATAGAAATCTCAAAGCAAATATATTCTTGTTTTTAGTATTTTACATTTTTTATGACACCCTGATTTATTGTTTTAGACACTACTTTTATTTTAACTGCATTTTTACTGTAGTTTATCGTTATTGTTGTTCACTGTTATTGTTGTCTGTACTTTATATGTTCTGTCTGTCTGGATTGGAACAGGTCTCTTGAAAACGAGTCCTCGTGACTCAATGAGGTTAGCCTGTAAAGGTTGAATGAAAAATATATATATTTGTCTTTTCTATTGTTCCTTCTGTGACATGTTCTTGTTATTGCTGCACCATGTTCTCATACTGTTCCCAATTTTACGAATTAATTGGCAATATTTATTGCATATGGACTGTACTTATATAGCACCTTTCTGTCTTATTTCAAGACACTCAAAGCGCTTTACACTACAATCTGTGCCTCATTTACCCATTCATACAGCTCTATACTAGACCTCTACAAAGCTAATATGCCATGTAAATAAAGATAATTATCTCATTTGAGTGTGAGATACCTGAAGGATTTTCTCCACAGTCCCTCTGATGTGTTCATTAGATTTGACACCCTCCATCTCCCTTGTGGCCAGAATACGGTTCACCATCTTCCCATCCAAGATTTAATGGACTGTAACGGTGATGTAGTGTCTGTTTGTCCTCTCCTCTGTCCAAAGGTCTGTCGTGATTGCATGGTCTCTAATCTGCACCAAAGGAATTACGTATATTGTTATTAGCTCTCAAAGTATATTGCATGTAAAACAGATGACTAATTTATAGTTGAGAGATTAAGCAGTTTAAAAGGAGGAGAAAAAACAGATTTAGTGTTAGGAAATCTATAATTATAGACTACTGCATGATGTCAAGGTAAAATGTTTGTACTGTATTAAAAAATAGTGCAGCGTGACAGACATACCTGATGGAGCTCTTCCATGACCATTTTTTAAATTTTATCATATTCTCCTTGAACATGACGGGAGACCGTGCGTCCACATGGCAGTATGTCTTGTGCCTCAGCCTTGTTTCCATACTTTGCTCCAATGTCGATTGCCTCCTGTATGACGTCGATGAAACCTTTCCCATCTACTACAGCAAATGGTCTCAAATCTACGCCGCACATGCGGGCTATTTTGTTGGTCATACGAGACTTGACTCCCGATGGTACTTTTCGTTTAATGAATGAAGAAATTCTTGGCTGATTCGTTCCGAAATTAGCCTTGCAAGTGTGCCTCTTCAGACCACTCGTCCCCGAGTCAGTGACATACTTTATTATAACTGAACATGTTTTGCAAGCAGCGTAGAGCATCTTCACACCGTCACACTCGACTCTCATAAAGTTCTGAACTATTAGCGCCTTCCCTGACAGTTCTGTTAACCTAACAGATGCGTCATTATTCCTAACTTTGCATTGCAAAATATTTTTTACCCTCTCGGTTTCTCCGCTGGCGTATGCTCCCTCCATGATGTTGGTTGATACAGTAAACAAAGAGGTTGGAAAAGGTGGGCGGAAGTAGCGGCTGGAAAAGGCGCCGGAAGCTGTTGGCGCAGCCGCCTGTCTGAAATTTATTATATATTTTTTTTTGCCTATTTCTTTTTTTGTCTTATGTTGGCTCCCGCTCCCGTCTGCTCTCGTTAAGTTTTCGTCCTGTCCGGTCCCGATAACGGGAGTTATAATAAATTTGACTCCGGTCCCGCCGGAATCCGGCCGGATTCACGTGACCGGCAGTACTCCCGAAAAAATGTCATCCTCTACTGCATACACTGGACCGAAAACAGAGCAGCCTGACCGTCCTTATGGGACATGCAGAAATTCGATATAACAGGTCTTCTTACCTTATGAGAAGATAATAGCCGGCTTGTTCAGTCTGCTCTAACTCCGTTCACCTGCCACTGTATTACCTCTAAATAATAATAAAAATTGAGCTACCACTTCTAAAACGGAAGACCAGAACAATGCACCAACTGTTAAAGACGAGAGCTGGCCACGGACCACTGGATCCGGAAACCCCCGCCAGCCCACGTCTTTACCCCCGGCTCGAACCTCCCTCAGAAGTGGCACTATAATAATCAATAAATCAAGGAAACATCAATTAAGTTTTATCAATTATATTAGATAAAGGCAGGAAAAGATTACAATTCACAGTGCTGGAGTCTAGAGTCTGTGACGCGTTCACAGACCCGGAAGAAGAGCCTCGAAGTCCCGTGTCATTACTAATTTATGGGGTCCTATGACTCCTCCTGCCACAGAAGGGGAGCTCAGCCTATCAGTGTATGAGGGGGCGTGGCTAAGTGTGGTCTTATGTGGACTGACGTGTTAGGAAATATGAGACGGTGCTTCAAAGCCTTTCTACGTGATGTGGCAAGCAGATTAAACTATTTGACTGATATTGAAATCCCAGGGAGACTCTCTTAAGAGTTTGCTGGCCCAGTTTAACCCAGTCAGAACCGGGTCATAATTTCATTATAACCCCGTCTCTGAGCAGCTCAAAACCATAGGACCAGTCTAGATTAAAATATCTTAACCCTGTCTCACCTCTGTCTCGTTAATCACCGCATATGTCTGTCGTTGTCCCAATCAGTGTGTGTGTGTATATCCAGTTCCATAGTGTCTTGTTTTGGGATTGTCCTCATGGAGTGTTTCTGCCTTCAATCCCGTGTCCAGCTTTTCTTGTGATTACACTGCCCCGTCAGATTTAGCTTTGTTTTTTTTTGTAAAATAAATATTTTTGAATTTTTCCACGAGTGTCCTGTCGTCCTCCTGCACTTGGGTTCAACACTTTGTACAGCAGAGCCTGACAGTTCCACGTTGATTGGGATGAAAAAGGAAGTCTGATTGTATTCGGGCGTACCCACAGTTGCATACATCTGGATTTATTTGTGTGTATTCTTTTTTCTTGATTTAAGCATACGCCTTGTTTCAGTAGGAAAGCCACACAAATCTTGCGGCCGCTGGTCCTTAAAGGGCCATTTCCTGCATATTTTACTCGTTTTCCTGCTTCAATGCATCTGATTCAATGGTTGCATTACATCTTTGTATTCCGCAGAAGTCTGTTAACCTCCCATTGATCCAAATCGGGTGTGCTGAAGCAGAGAAATATATTAAACATGTAGGATAGTGCTGTGCTACAGCATCTGTATTGGATACCACTGCTGTAGTCAGTGGCAACTGTTATAACTTTGAATAAAGGTTTTGAGATAACAAGCTATCATTTTAACATGCAAACTATTTAAACAGCATTGTGATGTGTTCACTTTTACTGTAAAAACACTTGCTCTGATGTTTCACAGATTAATCAAACTGAAGAGAAAACCATTTTGAAGAGGAAGCACTCATTCTTTGATCTGTTTCGAACCCCAACAATGAGGAAGCAGTCCCTGATTGTCTTCTATCTATGGTGAGTAACAGCAGAACACGTCTCTTTGTTCAGTGTTTATCAGAATCATCACGTCTGAACAAATTGCAAAACATCCAAACTAAGTGTAAAAATAAAGAAAATAGCAGGTGGTTGGAAGTAACTTGATATTCTGATATCTTGATGCAAACTCAATAATCCAGGTAGAAAAATTTAACAAGTTAAGTCAGGTACTCTGGACATATTAAAAATAAAATTAAAAAAATTAAAACTTGTTGAAACGTTTTTTATTTTATCTAAAAGACTTCTTCAGTCTGAGGAGCTGCAATAAACTCAGTTTTATAAATAGCACCTGTCATAGTGCAGGGGTGTCAAACTCACTTACAACCGGGGGCCAAAATTAAAAGCTTTTTCAAACTAAGGGCCAATTTCGAAAACTACATTTCCTCAAACCAGATACCCAACATCTTTTCTTGGTCACAAGTTCCTCAACAAGGTCAAGAGATAGAAGTATTTTACATTTCACATATCATCTTGAGGGCCAGATAAGATGTCAATGAGGGCCACATTTGGCCCACGGGCCTTGAGTTGGAGACATATGTCAGTGGATTAACCTGTTTGTTGTTGACATCCAGAACTAGCTGTTCATATGATAAAGGAGGACCATTAGTCTAACAATTGGTCATTAGTGCCCTGATGGCTGCTTTCTATTAACAGTGGGCTGAGTGATACTAGCAATAATACTGAACAACTATCGACTAATCTCTAAACTCTGTATTCTTGCCAAGGTTTTAGAAAAATTGATAAACTCTCAAGTCAAGTAGTATTTGGATTATTTTAACATCTTATCTCCCCATCAGTCTGGTTTCAGGAAACAACACAGCACAATGACTGCTTCGCTGAAGGTTTTTAGTTGTTTTTTTATGTTGTTTTATCACTGAAGGCTAAGGACTACTGTGCTGCACTTTATTTAGACCTGTCTAAAGCTTTTGATACTGTAGATCATGGCATCTTATTTCATAATCTCTCAGAAATTGGTTTCTCAGATCACAATATTGGTTGGTTCTCTAATTATTTCTCAGATCAGAGGCAATGTGTTAAACATAACAACATTTCTTCCAACTATCTAACTGTTTACCACGGTGTACCACAAGGTTCAGTCTTAGGCCCCACCCTTTTTACAATCTACATAAGTAATGTACAATAGGTCAGATCATCCTTGATGCATCCTTGCATTTCTGTGTCGACAACACAGTTGTTTATTGCCGAGCTAGAACAGTTGCTAAGGTTTTCCAGCTTTTACAGTCTGCATTAGACATCATCCAGTCAGATTTTTTCCATCTCAAACTTGTGCTAAATGCTAATAAAACCAAAAGGATGTTGCTTTCAAACAGGAAGTCGGTGCCAGCAGTCCTTCCTTCTATTTTATCTCCAAATGGTGTCCCTATACATAGTTCCCATGTGACGTAACATCAGGGGCATTTCCGGTACGTCCTCCATGTTGGGAGGCTGCCTCTAGCAGCAGGTACAGATACAGTGCAGTTTACCGGTAGTTAATTTTTTTGAGTTTTTTTTCTTTTTTTCTTTAAGTAAATTGCACTGGCTGTTTCGTGCTGGTTAGAGGATGTTACAACCGGGGAGACATTTGGGCAAAGCACAGTTTTCACTTAATCCCAAAAATAATGAAATGTGAAGGACCTCCATGGAGGAGCTCACCTCAGAACATCGTTGAGTCTGGCTAAGGATCTGCCCTCGAAGACGTCGTGCTCCAATCACTTTTTGTCCGGTAAACAAAAAATTCTATATAAATCATTTTGTGAGACAATGTCAGAACAATGTCAGAGTATAACTTTGTGTGTGTTGGAACTGTTTTTTTTTTTTCTCATGATTTAGCGTCTCTACTACTGTGGTTAGCTTAGAATGCTATGCTACATGCTAACCTCGACACCGTAACACTCACAGCAACAAAGTTCTGGTTCAGGTCCCGTTTGTTGTCAGGAGGCTGCATGTTATTTTATTTAAACCGTTATTTAGATGGTTAGATCTGACTGAGACAGTTTACACATCTTTTTTTTTCTAGACTGGGTCAGTATGACATTACAGCAACACATGAGCCGTTATTAAACCAGAGTTATTAAAGCACATTTAAAATAATGATGTGAATAAAAGGAGAAAAACACACATGAAGATAAAATTGTACTAAAATGTGAGTGAATATCAGTTAAAACATTTACTAAACAAATCTTCAATAATTAATATAAGTACATGTGTGTTATACAGTACACACTGTGTATGATGTATATACTGTACAGTATATGCATCATACACACACATTGTACTTAATATACATAATATTTGAACACTGCAACATTGAGAACTATCAGTTTGTTTTATGAGTGTTAGGATTTGTGGTCGGAGCGAACCCAGAGTGCAGAACAGGGACTCAACTCGGCAGATATACAAAAATAGGTTTTTAATGATAAATAAAAAGTACAAAATAAATATGCTGACGGGGCAGCAAAACTTACATAAACAAGGAAGGAGGCACGGGGAACTCAGGAGACACGGGGAACTCGAGGAACCAGGAAGACAAAGAGAGACTCAGGAGACTCAAGGAAGCGTACCCAACGAAGATGACCCGACAAAGGACAAGACAGAATAGGGAGACTTAAATACAAGGAGAAGACGAGACATGATGACAAACAGCTGGGACGAGACACAGGTGGCAACAATGGAACTAATGAGGAGCACGAGGGAAACAGACACACCGGGCCACAGAAAAGTAACATCCTTACAATGAGTCCCTCTTTACTCTCATGTGTGAACAAAGCAGTGGATGCATCTGTACTGAAAATATTCCAGAACACAAGTTCATCTTTGTGTATTACAACATTTGTTCTATTGAATTATTAGTTTTTTCAGGAAGACGTGCACACAAGTCCAGCACAGACTGGTCTCCTGCACTGGAGCTGACAGACCCTGACTCTGAGAACATCAGCAGCAGAGGAACAGCAGGGAAAGACACAAGCAGCCGGCACGATCATTCAAACATATTCAAGGAAATCTAAGATAAAAAAATTAATGCAATCAATATAAAATTGAACATATAACTTTGTGAATGAGTAAAAATGTTAGCAACTGTATTAATTGTCTTATTTTAGAGTTTGTGATGCAACATGACAATGTTTACTAATCTTTTTTTTTTTTTTAAGTACAGACGAGTGAAGGGCCGAGTTTGAACCAAAGAAAAGCTCCAGTGTGAGGACTCTCCTAGACCTGGGTCCAGTCTCGGATCCTAGACCTGGGTCCAGTCTCGGATCCTAGACCTGGGTCCAGTCTTGGATCCTAGACCTGGGTCCAGTGTCGGATCCTAGACCTGGGTCCAGTCTCGGATCCTAGACCTGGGTCCAGTCTCGGATCCTAGACCTGGGTCCAGTCTCAGATCCTAGACATGGGTCCACTCTCGGATCCTAGACCTGGGTCCACTCTCAGATCAGATCCTAGACCTGGGTCCACTCTCAGATCCTAGACCTGGGTCCAGTCTCAGATCCTACACCTGGGTCCACTCTTAGATCCTAGACCTGGGTCCACTCTCAGATCCTAGACCTGGGTCCAGTCTTGGATCCTGAGGGGTTGGTGGTCCCACATGACGAGGAATCTGTTCCAGTGTGTTTAAAGTCAGAACCTCCACTGGTCTCCATCAGTCCTTGTTGAAGAGTTGTTGATCTGGTATTTATTCTGTAGTCCTCTATGATCAGCTGCATGGAGTCATTTCATTAAAAGACATCAAATCACCCACAGTTCTCATCTTGTATCACTTTCAACTGTTTTGAATTTCTAACTATAGGCTTTGACTTAGAACTGTGTCAGTCTCCTCCTGGAGGAGGAACATACAGCAACATTCAATTCAATTCAATTCAGTTTATTTATAAAGCGCCAAATCACAACAAAGTTATCTCAGGGCACTTTACAGGAACATTCACATAAAAGCCAATTAGTAAAGTTCTCTATCTAAGGAATCCAGCAGACAAGTTGAATCTTGGCTTAGTTGCAGTCTCCCATCCAGAGCAAGCACAGTGGAGACAGTGGAAAGAAAAACTCCATTTTAACAGGAAGAAACCTCCAGCAGAACCAGCTCAGGACAAGAGACCATCTGCTTTGACCGGCTGGTTGAGAGGACAGGAAGGAGAGACAGACGAACACAGAATGGTAGGTCCAGGTATAGGTCCAGGTCCAGGTATAGGTCCAGGTGTATCTGAAAGACAAAAAAAAACAAATGTTAAGGATAGAAAAAATAATTACAAATACAAAACAGGTTGAGCAGAGTCAGTAAAGACAGTAACAGAGTGAAAATTGTGGTCAGTTTGTCCTCCAGCAGTCTAAGTCTATAGCAGCATAACTAAGGGACAGCTCAGGAAACCCAAGCCGACCCTAACTATAGGATTTATCAAAAAGGAAAGTCTTAAGCCTAGTTTTAAAACTGGATAATGTGTCAGCCTCATGGACAGAAACTGGAAGTTAGTTCCACAAGAGAGGAGCCTGTTAACTGAAAGATCTGCCTCCCATTCTGTTTTTGTAAATTCTAGGAACCACAAGTAAACCTGCAGTCTGAGAGTGAAGTGCTCTGTTAGGAAAATATGGAACAATAATAATAATAATAATGTCATCACAATGTCAGCACTGTATGTTTCCATACAATGGCGAAATTAGTCTCTGCATTTAACCCATCCACCACGGTGCAATGGGCAGCTATTGAAAGCGCCTGGGGGACATTTTGGGGATGAGACGTGCTGCCCAGAGACGCCACGTGATGTGCAGTGACTGGGGATTGAACCTGGGACTTTCGGGTCCCAAGCCGGCTGCCCTGCCTCTACACCATCTCGGCCCCCTAAGATCTGTAATACAAGATGGAGCCAGGTTGTTGAGAGCTTTGTAGGTTAGAAGTAAGATTTTGAATTCTATTCTGGATTTGACAGGGAGCCAATGGAGAGAAGCTAAAACTTGAGAGGTATGACCTCTCCCAGTAACTCCAGTTAAGACTC